CACAGTGTATCATCACGGACCAAGGGCCCTGCTTCGAGTCAAAAGCGTTTAAGGCAGTGTTGGACAAGTGGGGCATCCAGAGACGGCGAACTTCACCGTACCACCCACAAACCAACGGGATGACCGAGCGGTTCAACCGGACATTGAAGACGTGGATGAACTGCACGAAGTTGGCATGGGAAGATGCTTTGCCTCAGGTTCTGATCGCGTATCGGACCAGCATGCAATCAACCACCAAGGTCGCGCCATTCGAATTACTGTTCGGCAGAGAACCACGGATTGCGCTCGATACTTGCCTACCGAACCAGGGTGAGCGGAAACATCCAGCTGGGCATCAAGAGCGACTGCGAGGGAAAGCTAGAAGCGAAACCAAAGCTCGACAAGCGCGGAATAAGCGAAATTACGACGCCAGGCATGAGGCTCACAAGTGGAGGCCATTCAGGATTGGAGAACGAGTCAAGTTACGGAACAACGATCGGCCGGATCATGACGGGCCGGGCGCAAGCAAGTTCAGAGAACGCTGGAAAGGCCCCTACACCATTATCGACCAGAAAGCGGGCAACTTCTTAATCGACTGCGGAGGAATGAAACGTTGGGTGAATGCTGCTCTCCTGCGACCATGGTACGAGAGGAAGAAAGGTCCTCGAGGAGGGGCGGGTGTAGAGGGGCCGCTTCCAAGAATGCCTCGGGGGAGCTCTTCGGAGCTAGCTGAGAGCGGACCGCGAAAGGACGGCTAGCGACGAGCCTGGGCCCGGAACTACGGAGCGGGAATATGTGGACAGCGCAATAAATCAGACAAATACGCCGCTAGCGCAGCCCACAGGACCGAGGCCGAGCCGATTGACACAGCCCAGAACAAGCAAGTCGAGAGCTCTCGAACGACTCCTGGCCGATCCAAATCGGGTGCAGAGAAGCGGAGATCGAGGCGAAAACAGGAAGGCGGATCTTCCAAGTCAGAGCTCCCGAGGCGAAAGGACTGGCTCGTCGCGAAATTTGCACCGCTTGGAAAGTACACCAAAGGAAGAATATTGGTACACAATTCACACAGATAAAACGCTGAGAACACAGTAATCTGAGGCAAAAGCAGTATCCAGCACAAGCTGATCCAAAAATTCGGATTATGGAGCCTACGACTAAGCACATGCACTGCGCGGTATTCCTTCTCGACCTTGCGCCAAGGTCACGAGGATAAGTTCACTGCTTTCATTGCGAAGAAGCAGCCAGCGCTACCAGAGTGTCGGTATAGTGAACCCCAGCCACAAAGTTTGCAGATGAAATAGCTCTACAGTGTCTGCTAACAGATGTCCGTAACGAACAGGCTCGTGGAAGGCTGTTATCTGAAGATGCGACGCGATGAGTTAAAGGAACGGGTGCAATGTTGATCGGTAGCTGGAGAATGTCCATAAACTGCTAGTAGCTTTTTCCCGGCAACCTTCTAAAGACACAGTCTAAACAATCGACCGAAATGGTGTTACTCCTAGACGATCTGAGTTGACTTCTACATGTCAACGATGTGGAAACCAGCATCTGTCGGGCACGGAACGTCGTCATTAACAGAGTATCTAAAGCTAGTGTAGAAACCTGGAGTACTTAGTCCGAGTTTGCCAACCCAAGGCTAGCAGGGCTGTGGCATGTGGATTTCCAAAGTAGCCTATGACGATTGTTCAGTCTTCAGACGTAGATGACCAGTTAAACAGGACTTAGAGTACAACCTCGAGCAGCTGTACTGCTTATTCAGGTTACACTGTGCGAATGAAAATAGAACGTCAATTTGTTAAGTTGGAAGTTAATACCCGTGACGCAATTACCATAATAATTTCTGCATCTGTTAAGAGATTACTGAAGTTATCCCACTGCAAATCCAATTCGCGGACGTGCACCGAACAACCGATACCACTTTTAGGAAACTGTACCGTCCACAATAACTATCGTGGTTAGAAAGGGACCTCACAGGCGTACATTGTGAAGCATGATTACCTAAACTTTCGCGGACGCGACTGGATTAACAGCTTCTCGGCTACGCTAGACACAATGAGGTCCATGTCAATTAATCAGCGCTTGGAGGATGTATTCAGAAAATATTCTGATGTTTTTGATGATAAACTGGAAAAACTGAACGGGTATCAGGCCATTTTAAGATTAAGGCTGAGAAATCAGTCCCGTTTCTTCAGGAAAGGTACTCTACCTTATTCTCCGAGATCGAAGGTGGAAGACGAAGTAAAGAGATTGCAATCAAAATGAACAATCAAACCAGCCCAATACTTTGGGTGTGGAGCTCTGATAGTTCCTGTCCTAAAGTCGGATGGTCCTATACGTATTTTCGATGATTGTAAATTAACTGTTAATGGTGGTTTAATTCTGGATAAGTATACCTTGCTTCTGATAGAGGATCTGTACGCTACGGTAGCAGGCGGACAAAAGTTCACGTAGATCGACCTCAGTTACGCGTACTTGCGAATTGAGTTAGACGAGACCTCTCGCTCATGTACTACGAGAAGTACCCACATGGGTTCATTCCATTACAAACGTCTGCTCTTCCGAAGCACTTCAGCCCAGGCGATATTCCACATGATCATTGACAACCTGATCAAATATATTCATTTCACTTGCGCCTACCTTGTCGCCGTTCTGATTACAGGACGCACAGATGCTGAATATTCGCACACGCAATCCACTTTGTTCGAACTTCTACAACTGAGTGGGTTCAAACTGAAGAAGTACAAGAGAACATTTTGCTTGAGTTCCCTTCCTTACCTGGGTTACTGACTCGATAAAAGGGAGTACCCGTGTTAGAAGACGAAGTCAAGCCCATCCTTATCGCACCTAAAGCGAAGAATGAGGTTGAGTTTCGATCATTTTAGATGTTTTCTCACAAGCATCGCTGCTTACCTAACGCCACAACAGCAATTGCACCATTGTATGAACTGTTGCACAAGGGGAAGTCCTGGATTTGGGGTCTGGATCAAAGAAAGGCCTTCAAGGTTGCAAAAAGAGCGCTCAGCACCTACCTGTATCTCGTCTATTTCGATCTGAACAGTCTCTAGTGGTGTAGTGTGATATTTCACCTCGTGGTGTAGCTTCAGTCCTTTGCCACCGGAGAGATGACGGTTCATCTAATCTAATCGACCTTGCCACTCCGACCCCGCAACCGGCTAAAAGGAATTATGCCCAACTGGGAAGAGAGGATATAGCGACTATTTTGGGAGTCAAGCATTTCCACCAGAACTTCTGGGAAAGACAGTTCGATATCCACCCTGACCATAAACCACTCCTTTCGCTTCTGCTTGAAGGGATAGAAATCCAGCTGCTGTTTACGCCTCAAATGCAAAGGTGGGTACTACTTTGAGCACCCATAACTACAAGCTTCGGCATGTAAACGGATTTAGAAATGCTATTATCGTTGCACTTGAGTCGCCTCCCGCAGCATCATGGCACAAAATGAACAGTGAACACATGGAGTTCATCAGTCTGATGCGACACATTGAAAAGACACCCATCCGGAGTGACGTGGTGTGCGCCCGACGGACCGGGATCGTATGTTGTCGATGGTGGAACGGTTCTTGATGACTGGATGGTCTGCAAGCATGTCAGACGAACTGAAATCATTCGCCTGTCTAAGTAATGAGTTGAGTCTATACAGCGACTGTATTTTTCAATGCTCGTGCATAGTTCCACCAGAAGAATTACGGCCTCAGTTGCTGAGAGAGCTGCTTGACGCACACCCCAGTGTGAACAGGATGCAGGCACTGGCACGTGTTTATTGTTGGTGGCCGAACATTGACCAGGACATAGAATGGCTGCTGAAATTTGTGAACCGTGTAAAAGATACCAAAGACAAAAGTCTGTCGGACCCATACATCGATAGCATTGGCTAGAGAGCACCAGGCATGCGAGTTTGCCGCTTACCGCTAGCGTTAATACTACTTGCCGACACAACGCATCCATTTTATTAAGTCTTAGGGGATGTGCGTCTAGCTCGTCAACGTGACGGAAGCACAAGTCCGTATATACCCAAACACGAGCTTACCGTTCTTTAGTTAGTACTTATCTACTGTGTTTCTTGCTATACCTTAAAAAGTCGTCCGGGCATTAAGCAACCAGTTTGCGCTTTCCTGGTACTGTGTTTTCCATATATACATCTATATTTTCGGATAGCATTTATATCATGCTACATCGCTAAAAGCGTGTGTGTTACAGATTTCGAAAAAACGGACGCGCTGTATCCCATACAGGTCCAATAGCCTTGGAAGATGCAACAGCATGCCGCATTTGTTACCATCGTGAACAGTGAACAGGAATAGTTGCAGCCTATCCTATATCCAATGTTAGTTTATGCTGAAGGTCATCAGGAATTACTGCGGACTGCATTGATATCCTGTGGATTTATCACAGCGGCATACCAGATGCGCAACAACGAAGCTACCCCTGCACACTACATCCTGAAACCCAACACATGTACTATTGATTTGAGTGGTTACTAGTTATCTTTGGCCGCTCACTATAACCGGCTGAAATATAGTACCCATCCTTCCTCCTCTAAGTGCGTCACATCAATATTCATGTGGACCTCATGGAGAGTCCATTCCATATGTTTTGTTCACTCGTATTCTGTCGATGCACACGAGCGTGTTTGTGCAGGCTGCCTTAGCAACGGAAGGCGCGAATCCAGTGGCAGCATAATACAGATACTTCTCTGTTTGAATGCTTCCACCTGTAACCCTATCCTTACGGGTGACGTTATCAAGATTGTTTAGAACGCTAGTCGACCTTTAAGTGCCTACAGAAGACAAAAATATCATCGAACTCAGCATCCCTCCCAACAACAAATGTGGTCAACTTAAAGCTTATCAGCTGTTTCGGGACGATATCTGTTCGCCACCCACACAGAAGCGGAGGATGTGCAACAAAGATATTTAGTTAGTCGAATTAAAAAATTGTACCGCAAAATAAGTTCTTATGCGCAATTAACAAAGTATTAGGCAATTGAAAAAATAGCAAATTCAAAAGCATTTACGGTGAACAATAGAGGGTCCGAATTCGTCATACTCCTGTTTTGCAATCCACATTTGTTGGAATGTGGACAATGAAGATAGGATGGACCCCCCAATCCATACAGAGTACTTGCGCTCAGAAGGAGCAACAAGTTTGATCTTCATCGTCGGTGGTGCCAACTGGGTGATTTCCTTTTGCAAACGATCCGCCAACCCTGGAAACATAGTCGTACCACCGGATAGGACAACGTTGGCATAGAGATCTTTGCGAATGTCGACATCACATTTCATTATGGAATTGTAGGTGGTTTCATGCACTCCGGCTGCTTCCATACCAATGAAGGCTGGCTGCAACATCGTCTCAGGACACCGGAAGCGCTCGTTACCAATGGTAAGCACTTGGCCGTCAGGTAACTCGTAACTCTTCTCCAACGATGAGCTCGCTGAAGCCGTTTGCATCTCCTGCTCAAAGTCCAAGGCGACGTAGCACAGTTTCTCTTTTATGTCACGCACTATCTCGCGCTCCGCTGTCGTAGTGAAACTGTAACCACGTTCAGTCAAAATCTTCATCAAGTAGTCAGTCAGATCACGTCCAGCCAAGTCGAGACGGATGATAGCATGGGGCAACGCGTAACCCTCATAGATGGGCACTGTGTGTGACACACCATCGCCCGAGTCCAACACAATGCCGGTAGTGCGACCGGAGGCGTACAGTGATAGAACTGCTTGAATGGCAACGTACACCGCTGGTGAATTGAATGTTTCGAACATTATCTGAAGCATCTTTTCTCTGTTTGCTTTCGGATTCAGCGGAGCTTCAGTGAGCAGGGCCGGATGCTCCTCCGGCGCAACACGCAATTCGTTGTAGAATGTGTGATGCCAAATTTTCTCCATATCATCCCAGTTATTTACTATCCCGTGTTCGATGGGGTACTTCAGAGTTAGGATGCCCCGTTTCGACTGCGCTTCGTCCCCAACGTAACTGTCTTTCTGTCCCATTCCAACCATCACACCCTGATGCCTTGGACGACCCACGATGGAGGGAAACACAGCTCTGGGTGCATCGTCTCCGGCGAATCCTGCCTTGCACATACCGGAACCGTTGTCAATCACCAGGGGAGTAGCGTCCTCTGAAGGCATTTTTGGCGCACAGCTCAATTGAACGGTTTAAGTAAACAGCGCACTTATATCGCACGTATTTTCACCAAATATGGCCTGATCAGGCGGCATGCTGGTGGGGCATACAAGGCCGCAATCGTGACTGGACGGCGCTGCACAGTACCTACCTCTAGGCTTCATAAACCAATGAATTGATCTCCGTGTGCACATCGCCACTACGTATGACCACATATCCGCCTATGGAATGCACTGACCTGCTTTCTCCTTTATTACATGCTCATAACAGCAAGATAGTGCACACCAGTTGATAATTCAGGCAATACCTTACAGTAAAAGGACACGTAAGTGTGTACCTGGCTTCAGTTCAATACGGCGTATAAACAGCCAGCTGTATGCAAAAGCAGCTTGAGAAAGGGAAGTACTTTTCCGTATTGCACTAATAACAAAACAAGCACCGTTAAGCACATCGTCTGTACTTCGAAAGCCTGTATGCTTACACATAATGAATGTGTCTCATCGGCGAAGCCTAGACAGCGGATTGAATAGCAATCTGCTATCAGCTGATCGCATGGTGCGCTTAGGCTAGCTTTGATAGTTGCATGTAAGCCAGCTAGTAAGCAGGTCTCAAACTCCTACCGTTAACGTTTAGGACTAAAACACTCCGCTTATCGTGGGTCTTTGGCTGCTACACTCTGGTGCAATCAATGCCCAGAGAACAAAATCAGGTATGGCTAGGTGGTATGGAACAGAAAGCTTGATTACAGAAGGGATTGAAAGCAACCGGCTGGTGTATTTGGCGAACAACGTTTCACCATTCACACAAAACTGCAAGGACTGTGCACACGTGTGCATAAGCTAAACCTCTAGCAAGTTGTGCAAGAGGTTAGCAGAGAACAAGAAGTGCTTGCCACGGCTGCTTAGGAACAGACCTAAATACAGGGCTCTACTGAGAGTTCGGGTGGATACATGTCATAAAATCAACTTGTATGATGTCTGGATCAATAGAAAGATGGAGCAAATCGCATCTATACGGCTGCTTTCTGGGGTGGTGGTAATTCACAAAACTAACAGCTACGTAAACGGTATGGCTAAGAAAGGGCTATCGCATATCTGTCTTAACCAGCCAGTCTGAGGAGTGCTGCTTGATGGGACCTGGACCATAGCGTACATATAATCACTGCTATCCCCATCACTGGCAGGGATCTACATGTGATGACGGTGTACCATATACCAGTTGAGTTCTTTCCGTCGCTTGAAATGACCACTTACCGGCAGCGTCCTTAATCTCCTGATAACCTTCCGGTTGTCGCGGTTGTCTTCATAGTTCGCTACAAATACTCCGCCAAAAATTCGCTGATTCACTTGGATTGAGGAAACTTTTGTGTCACGCAAGAAACTGTTCCCCAAAAGGCACCAACCGATTGTCTGCAATCTGTTCTGGGATCATCCGTTCTCCACTGATCCCAGTCATATTGACCGCGGACAAATGCGTGTTTTCGAATTCGCTTGACAGCTGCGTCTTACCTTTGGAAGAACAAGAGGCAATCATCTGTCTGATTTTTAAGTGAGGCGACAAAAGTCTGCCTGCGAAGTACCGGCCTGGCATGGTAGACAAGTCTGAAAAGTTGGTTAAGGTTTGTGTGGAGCATCGCCTGAACAATTTCACATTTTCAGTGTCGCATAACAAAGATTCCCCAGAGGATTTTCATGTCAGACCAATCTACTTGTTGCTCCTGAAAGCTGGACCGATGCGGCAGATAGTTGCCACGATTTAGACGTACGATTCGTGGAATTTTCAGAAGCTATTAACACTGTGCATCATCTTAGACTCTCAGTAAATTTGCGATCTTACGAGATATCTGGTCGCGTCCTTAAAGTGGTGTCCACTTTCTTAGATGAGAGAGCACAGCGTGTGTGCGTGGTGTGTAGCCTTTCTTTTAGACAAGGTGTTTTTAGTGACGTTCAGCAGCGGTCGGTATTAAGGCCATCGCTTTTCGCGATTTATGTAAATGACTTTCCGGGGGAACTTGCAGTGTCTTCGTTAATACTTGCTGACTACCCTAAGCCATGGAGTATCATGGATACCCCTGTTTTAACCCTGATTTCTCATTAAGTCACTGCACTGGTGGATAAACCTTCCTATGTCTGCACAACCGTACAAGAAAACATCGCAGCGTCTCCCTGTTAGGTTTTAGGGCAAGCCTAAACCGAAATAAATTCAGTGTCTGAAAACCAATGCAAGATATCGTCACTGAGCCGGGTTAAATTCCGTAACTTACACGAAAAGACAGAAGCCCATCACCGCCATAATATGTTGTTCTCAGAAGCTATGACGAATAGGCGATCTATGGTTGTGCCTAGTTCGTTGGGAGTCATGCAATCAGATAGGGCTGATATTGATGTGTATTTTTGCTTTTTCCTGCGTTGGCCCCATTTTGTGTTCTACTTATCAATACAGTCCTATCCACCAGTTTGCATGCTGGCATTCGAGGCGCAATCATAGGAAGCCGTTCGGACATTGTGCAGGAGAACACAACACTCACAGTCATGCTTTTGTGTCGGTATCAAAGGGCGAGGGACAGCGGTAGCTAAGTTAGGGATGCCGTACAACGACTTCGATGGAGCGTCGGTTTATTTTTAATGGCCAGACCGTACCAACCGAGTTGTCCTCGTCCGATTTGAGAGATTCAAACAGAAATGATCAACTACTTTTGCGAACACAACTGATTGGGACAAAGGCTGAACTCACGAGTACAAATTCATAGTGTCTTAAACATCACTCATCACGGACAGCCACTTGGGACAAACACTTGGAACATTCGCCGCATGGCTGCTTATCCTTACAACAATCGTACATTTGACAATGCTTCAGTCTAGCCCAGGGGGCAGCAAACTACCGCCCGCGGGCCGGATCCGGCCTACCGATTGCACCCGGTTTTGCTTGGCAAAGCATATGGAACATGAGACGCCTCAATACCATTCACATATGACACTGCATGTTGTGTCGTCCGTGTCCTTATAGTGTTTAAACTCTAGCGTGCGCAATCTCATGGTTGTTACTTGTGACACCGTACTACTGTACCGGTTTCGACCCCACATCTTTGGAACACTGATGTGAGTGATTACTTGTGAAACCCGTTCGTCCGTGCATCATGTCACGCTTTTGTTCACCTCACACTTTTGCGCCGCAATTTTCACTTGGTCAGCTTCATGGAAGCATAAGTATGGAGCTATACGTACTAAGTGTTAGAGAATAATAGCGAATTGTTGGTACGGAATTGCACTGAAACTGCATATTGCGGAGGTTGGTACATGTTGGTGTGCTAAACGCTTGTAAGCAGCAACGGTATACAGTCCGAGCACTGTCAACTGAGTTGGATTTGCTAAAAACGCTTGGCTCAAGACTTCAAAGCGCGTATCCGTTTCATACATACACGTATTAACTTATTTAATTAATTAATTAGTTATTGCAAGCGTGCTTATTTGGTACAGTACCCAAGGTACCAATGAAACGCACGTGTACCCTTGGTGAGCTGCAGCTCCACCGCTGACCACTTGTCCTCTGCTTTTCAGGTGCTTCAATAAGATTTTTATTGTTTGTAATATAAAATATTTTATTGTTTCCACCTCCTGGACTTCGGCCTTTACTAAGGCTAATAAAAAAGAAAAGCGGACGTAGGTCATCAGGTTTTCTTTGTCTAATTTCCCAGAGTTTACCTTCTGGCTTGCAACTATTATGCATAATGATGAGACGGCCCAAGCTAATCATTTTGTCGGTTATCCGGCCCGCGTGTTATATTTCTCGGTTATCCGACCAGCTGTCTTCTTTCTCCTAGTCATTCGGGCAGCCGTGTAAAATATTTGGTGACCCCTGCTCTAGCCGCACTTTGATGCCATCATGCACGCGCATATGGGCGTTAGTGAACAGACGTTGGTGAACAGTCACCACCGTTGGCCCTAGTTTACTTTACTCACCATCTATACCATAGCACTAAGCCATCGATTTGACCGCTAGAAAAACTTAAACTAGCTCCCCGGAATGATTTGACGCCTAGCACACATAATTCCTGTCATGTAAACGTTTAGGTTTGATGAGTTTACACGGAAAGATTTCTTAACCCAGCACTCATTTCTGGTTCTGACTTTTGCCATTGAAATAGGAACATTAGCTTTGCTGCAGATCAGCCTCGCCCGGGATCGATAACTTTTGCTCATTCATATGTTAGTAGCACAATTGCGAATACACTCTTTTGGGTAATGTATTTCAGGCAAATTTAATCACAACATCATGGCAAACGTGACGGGTCAGAGAACGCGAGGGATGTTATTGGTTCAGTCAACTAACTCGATCAATAGTACAGCCGATACAACCAGGCAGTGAGCCTAATGCGACGCGCAAGCACGCACATACGTACGAAGCCATGAGGTGTTATCGATGGGCATGCAATGATTGCTTTCTACCGCGGCCACTTTTCGCGGTGAACGGAACTTTATTACTGCCAGGGCAGAGTAAAAACTTGTACAACTCCGGCTGCAGTAGTGTGATTGCAATGACGCAGCGGTGGCCAACGAGCGCATTTCGAGTGCTTCGGAGTTCAGCTTCGACACCGTGCCGACTACGTTGAATACGTCCTCAGTCCGGATCTGGCGGCCGGTACTAAGCGGATGTTCGAGGATGAAGCTACTGGCAATCTTATCTGTTCCATGTTGTGCAGAAGTGGGGTAGTGCTCCGCTATCCATCTAGACCAGGGGGTGTCCAGACTTGTTGCAAGAAGGGCCACATTTTGTGAGGTAAAAATATGTCGGGTCATATTCAATCTGACATAAAGATAATAAAAAAATCACACGTGTACGAAAACATCCAAGCCTAAATTTATTATTTCAAATGAGGCCGCAGGCCAGACTTTGAACATCCCTGATCTAGTAACAGCGCATAAACAAAGTGAATCGCCAGCTGTACGCCGTAACGGCGTTCGCTTCGATCTAGACGGACGCCTAGTCGTGTACACGAGGTACGTTG